ATTCACGGTAGCATCCACATCTCAAGGAATTCTGAAATCTCACAACTCACTATGCCCTTCTTCAGTTTATCAATCCTGCATAGATGCTATGAGTAATATCTTTATCAATTTCCCCATTCTTCTTTTATAATTGAAACTGACATACTAACATTACTCCTTTTGTGATACATATTGATTTACGATTCTCACAGAGAACCAACAAAGAAAATGATGAATTTTGAATTTTAAAGTCACAGAAAGAGTATCTACCGGATCATTAAAAAAAGATATCAATGATATAACAGCAGCAACAACAGGAATTGGCTTGGTCATTGGCGAGAGCATAGCTTGGTGAAAAGCTGGAATGCTTGATGACGTGTCCTGGAGATATACCACAAATTTTTAATTTTTATATTTATGAAGGTCTAATCTGATTGATATAATCAAATAAAGACAAAATGAAATTCAGCATCTGCATATTGTCAGCACATATTTGTCAAACATAATAACAGTGACTAGAAAGAAAAAAATAATGATAATCATACTCCCCAAAAGAAAAACAAATTATGAATAATTTGGGAATGTGATGTATGATATCATGAAGAAAAATAACAACCTCCATCCCAAGAAAAACACAATTTGCAAAAGCTATGCACTCTTACTTGACCATATCATTAACTTCTACAACAACTAAAGCTTTCTTTACACAGGTAAAACAGCTAAAACTAAAGGTAAATAATTACCAAAAATATGCAGCATAAAAGCAATGATCATGAGAGCTTGAAAAAATGTGAAAAAAATACCAAAATTGAAGATAAAAAGTCATCCATTTGCCACTATATAAAAGTTGTAACATGTTGTGTCACTTCAGTAGTGCAAACAGATCTGTAAATTTCCGAATACCTTTGAAAATTTGGTAAGCATGATATATGAAATATCCAAAGCAGAACTTATAGCAAGTTGTAATCCCTCAATCTCCACCAGTTCGACAAGGCGGTTGAGATAAAGCCTCTGCTCAAAGAAATGCTCTTATTAGTAAGGAAAAGAAAAGGATAGTGACTTCACCTTATATTGTAAATTGAACAAAAGGAGATGATATAGAAAATAGCAGACCTCCAAGGCTTCAGAAGTTGTACACATTATACGAAAGAGAGTGTTGTGGATCGAAGAATCATAAAGCAGCAAATCCCGGATGACACCACCCAAATTTTCAGAGGAAGATGTTGCTAAAATGCATGTTTTCATCACTTCAAGCACCTATTACAAGGCACAAATTATAACTTAATCTCTCCAGCATTTGAAATTCCATGTCCACTGTATGGACAGCCACTTGTTTGTGGACATCATTACAAGCTGATTTTGTTAGGTTTGGACCAAATTAATCGGATAAAGATCAAGAAGAACAAAAGCTAAGCCAGGTAGGAGAATATGCATGCAATGCAAAAGAGTAACAAGTAAATACTTCCTAAACCAGGTCATTTTATACCCATACAAACATGTCAAAGACATGCTAAGGAAAGAGGGAAAAAGAACATAGCCATCACAAGGTGAATTTTGAAAATTTAATTCAGTGCAAGGCATACAAGAAAACTGCACAAGATCTATAGATATATGCACCATAACAGCAAAATTAATGTTCACTGCAGCAATTATAGAGCTTGAGTCATTGTAATATCCCTCAATCATCTTTTGCTTATTAAAAATGGACACTACATGTGTGTTATTCTGGCCACCAAAATGAAATTTGATCACTACCATCAGTCTATTACATCATAAATACATTTCATACTATATAAAGACATCAATCAAAGTAATATAAAAATAAAAACAATTAAACGTGTTAGCAGCTTACAGAAAGACCAATCCATACCTTCAGTGTTACTTTCCAACGAGTATTCTTCACCTTGTATTTCCAGTATTCATGATTGACTAGAATATACTGGAGGGAGAAAACAACTAATGACACAACAATATCATCCTCGACTCCAGTCCTTACAAGCTGCATGGTGAAATCCAGCACTGCAAATATCATTAGTAATAGGCACATCAGAACAAAACAGAAATATGTGAGCAGTGTGGACACTACTAAGTAAAAATTAAGAAATGTTGAAGTTCAAAAGCTGATAAGATATAATCTTATGGAAGACCCAGAAAGTTGTAAGCTCAGGATAGAAAATATTAAACATCCATATGAAGCCAGAAAAGGGCTACTAATGTAGAGCCACTACAATAAAACTTTGAATAGTCAGTTAAATATCAGATAAGATAACCACGAAACTACAGATAAAAAAGTTGCAACTAGCAATAACACCCGATGCGCATTCTTGCTCCCCTCACTATTTTGGTATTCACCTTTTTTACAATTGCATAAACAAGTTCGGAAGACTGGAATAGGTTTGTGCTGGATTTCTACTATGTTATTTCCATAGATAGAGGAGTCCAAACTCAATCCTCCATGCTATGATTTATAGAACAGTGCAATCAAAAAATGGTGTCCCAGACACTTGGAGAAATGACGCTCATGTGCACTTCAATCAGAACTTGCAGCAATAATTAAAGAGAAATTCAATTACTAATGGAAAGACCCATCAAACTAAACGAGAATTCCATGATTTTTTGTAGGAAACTTGCTTTTCATGTTATCCAACATCTATGGTTTTTATGAGAAGCATACAAGTAAAGCAGAGGGTACTGTAGGATCAGCTATCACATTATCCATTATCTATGGTTTTTTAACAAGCATACAAGTAAAGAAGAAGGTTTGTAGGATCAGCTGCCTACTAGTCAAAGCTATTAGGATAAGGATCACTGCTTGACTGATATATAACACTCAGACATACATACATATGTATCATACATGGGAAAAAAGAGAGAGATAGAGAGAGAGAAAGAGTAGCAGAATTATAATAACAAATGAGCAGACTATATGGTAACATATTTGCAAATCTAAAGAAACAATTGAAAAATAAAAAGACATGCTTACTAATGACAGAAAGCTAAAATGATTGAATACAGACCTGATATTGTTAATAGGCAGTCATAATCACTCTGCTCACTATCAATTAAAAGCATCTTTGCCAACTTTCCAGATAGCAACCACGACCCACTGCAAAGAAAAGGTGAGGCAAGAAAGAATTAGAAGAATATATAAACAAATTTGTTTTTATCTTGAATACATGAGGACAATAGAAGAAAGCATACAAAAAGAAAAATGGAGAACAGATTAATTATAGCCAACATCCTTTCAAAGAAAAATGAACAATTGAAGCACCAATTACCATCGATAAAAATTCTGTGCCAAATGCTGAAAGAACAAGCAGAGAAAGAGAGAATCTCTTCTTTCAGTTCTAACTCCTTGGAGAGAGTGTGACCTAGGAAGAGGACTCATCTATGTCTTGCACCAACTACATCGGTTTGGCTGCATAATTCTTTTCTCAAAATTATTCCATACAATCACGGAATTTATGTAACCTAAATCAAGTGATTACAACACACACTAAATTAAGTTACATACTCCATTACCCAAGTACAACGCTTCATAGACTTAGCAGCCATTCAACAGTTTGTTGAAGTTACACCTAAGTTTAATCACACAATTGCATTGAGGAAAATTCAACCATAAACCAGACAATTAAGACACTAAATAAAATTCATACAAAAAGATAGTAGAGAATACATATCGTTCATGCAAGATAACTTGAGGAAAGTATTTCAACGGGATAGCTACAAAAAATGTAACACAAAAATGATAAAAACAAAATCAATTCGGAAATAATTGTAAAAGAGGCCACGTAGTAAACAGCAATGAGATATCCAACCCTGAAATCGATGCTAGGTCATTTAACGTGCAGAAGCAATCCAATAAAATCCCAAAGCATTACAACTATAATTCTCATGCTTCAGTCCATAGGGTTCACCTTGATAGACCATTCCAACCTATGTTGAAGACACTTGAATTTGAAGCCACATCAAATATGTTTGATTTCAAGGCTATTGCAGCAACTTCAGAAGGGGAACTGCCTCAAAAGAGAAAAAGAAGCAAAAAGGTATATGTGAATGAGCGATAGATAACTATATCATAGAACACTGAATAAGCTATGATAAACTATGGCAAGAAACAGATGCAGGTTTGAGTACTCAAGATAATTAAAGTTGCCTAGTGGACATAAAAGACCATGACAATAAATCAAATTCTAAACATCCTTGATTGGTAACACCGTGATCTTGAATCCTTCTTTGCTAGAACTGAACTCTAACAAATAAAACAAAGACCACAGCATGCATTACTTTTTCTTCTCAGAGACAATTAAATTGTTAACGTCAATGAGCGGTTACCATGAACACAATCTTCAGAATTTTTAACTTTAGTTAGCTATTGGGTGAAGACCACAATGTATAACTTCCATTTAATTTTTTTTCCCTCTACTTGGAACTGATAGATGTGGCTTTACCAATGAATTCAGTTAGGGGATTAGATTCATTGATTCAAATATTAGTAACAAAATTCTTGCCATTCACAAATCAAACAAAGCACACATAGAAGAAAACAACCAACAGGTCATCTTCTTTATTAAATACAAATAACCCTTATGGAAGGAACTAACAATAACTTAGGTGCAATTACCATTTCAGCATCTTTGCCAAGATTACCAAAGCCATGGACATCAGTGTAGCACCACTGGGACTAGGAGGCAAATTTCTGACTATAATGCTAATGATCTCAACAACCCTGCAGCAAAGACAAAGAGACAACTGCGAAAATATAGCCCGGAAGAGGTGCAAAACATAAAACAGAAAGAATAAAGAACAAGGCAATTTAGTTCAAGTTGCGTAATTACCACAGATTATTTTCTATCTGCTCATTCATGCCAGTTGCTTGGACATGCAAGAAGTTGCAACTATCCATCATAGAAAAACATACAGCCTATTCAAAAGAATTGTTAGAAAAGAAAGAAACTATGAGGACAAGCAAGGTACCATGTTAAGTTTAAGGAAAAATTAAAGGGTGAATGTACAAACACCAATAAAAGACACAGGTTTCAATAAATTCGTGTTTTCAAATATGACAAATATTGAAGAATGACCAGTAACTTTCACTGACAACAGCAACAACAAAACAATTTCAAAAGAATTCATTATCTATAGCCATCCAAGACTCATTGATTCCAACGCTATCTATCATATATGAATAACTATAACTGGCAGCAAAGAATTACCATGTTGAAGGACACCATTCGGCCAAGTAGGTCAAGGGTAAGAAATGCTTCTTCATTGTTTTCTAACTGTTGTGTCTGGGCCAAACGAAGGAGCAGCACAAACACAGCTGATTTTGTATGCTGCAGAAAACAATCAAGGTGTTAAAATATCCTAGTCATATTACTCAAACCTCTTTCAAAACTTTTAGGATCATTAATTCAACTTAAAAAATTTTCAGAGGCAGCATTAAGACAATACCTGAAAAGCATACAAAAGAGAGTAAAAAAAATTATGTTGATGATGTAAATAGGAAAACATAACATCCATCCATCATTACGAGTCAGCATAACACTAATCATATAGCAAACCTCATTCAATTTCACTAAAAATGAGCAAAGCTATCAGGAAAAGTTGGAGAAGAATATGCACATGCACACAAACATAAGTTACCATGCAGCAAAACTAGTAAATCAAAATGCTAGAAGAAACAATTAATTCCAGCTGCATGCTGCACATTCACAGGTAACATGATAAAACTACATGCATTCAAGGAAACCAAATTATATAAATATATTCCTAGCCCATCCACAATAGACAATTTTCAGCCAAACAAGAATTGCATGTTGAAGCCTAAAGAATAAACTAAAAAGATTGGATAGCACAGTAACTTTACCTGTGGAGTAAAAAAAAGTTAAAAACCTAAACATCAAACATGTTCCAAAAAATTTCAGCAGATCCAGCAGGACATAATTGATAAACATTAAGTATAATAGCAAAAGTGTCTCAAGTATTTACCTCCCAGCGCACAAGAGCAGTGTTCCCACCAACAACTTTCAGAATGTGCCCACGAGTTCTACTAGGAATGTGCAGACCATCAACCCCAGGAATACACACTGGATGCTGAGTTTCAACAATTTGACATGTACAATCCAACAAGGATTCACTAGTAATGTCAAACAAGGATGATATGCCAGTGGATTTATCTAAAAAGTTATACCTGTTCACATGATAAATGCATTACTTGTAACAGAAACGAATGGCAGTTCAACAAGCAACTTATCATAACAGAAATATTAGGAAATATGAGTTGCAGGGTCATTTACAACATCATAGAGAATGTTGGTGACAGAAAAATATATCAGAACAGATTTTACAAGTTGAACTGTTGAAATTTGAATTACATTAAAAACCTAAAAAGGTAACAAAACTCTTCAAAACATGTAACATGGATTGACAGGTTGTTAATCATATCAGCTAACTTCAATCCAAAGATAAAATAAGCTCAATAGCATCTTGTCGCATCCTCTTTGAGTTCAGATAGCTCTTCTTGCGTGAAAACAATAGCCAGACCAGAGTCACCAAAGTCAGCCATAAATAAGAGAAGTTTCTTAACAAACATATTAGACAGTACAAATATACAAAGGGACATTCACAGATATGCGTATGTACATATATGTATATGACAGCATATATCTTGGTTGTACACGTATAATTGAAACCAATTGGACTACAAAGAGGAAAAAAACACACTTACACACATTCTGCAGGCCAGCTTCCTTCACATAGAGATGATAAAAGGCGTAGAAGTTCCACAGTCCTAAAGGGGAATTCGCCCTCCAAGTTACAAAGAAGGCACCGAATAGGACCATCTATAAAACTTGCTCTATCCCAAAATTGAATACAAAGTGACTCCTGCAAATTTGATTAACAAGAAATTCCAATTTATAACCTATGACCAACAGAAAACATTATTATTAATAAAAATCAAGTGACTCAGAAGTACATTCACTATAAATCCAAACCTCTCCTCGATAAACATAGCAAAGAATATCCAATATCAAATTAAGGGTACCATCCTCCAACTGTAAAATGGACAAACTGTCATTAATAAAAAAAAAAGTTCCATATACCTTACAAGCAAATTCAATATGCAATATATATAGTCACCTGAAGATTAATTTCATAAGACGCAATGAATGCAGAAATAAAAGTTCTCAAGACACTTCGATAACCAGCAACAGGTCCCTGATAGAAGAGGGGAAAAAACCCAAAATAAGATTAGAGAGCATAATAAGAAAAGACCACAAAATGCAACGACCAAAATAATGTAAAAGCAAAAATAATCTCAGACAAGTTGATATGAATTTCAGTGAAAAAAAAAAAAGGATTAATCAAACAGTAAATGCAAGCATCAGAATACCAGTCAACCAATCAATGACATAAACTGTGCCTTACATCTGATTCCTTCAATATGTCACTTTGAAGAATTTCAAGGAAATAACTCAAAGATGAAGCTTCAAAAGCTTGACGAACATACCCAACATGATCAATCTCCTGGGAAATTGAACAAAGACACAGTCAATGCTGATAATATTCATTCATGTAGTATACGAAGCAGGAAAGAAAACACACCGTCAGTACATTAGTTTCCTCCTTTTGAGGAAGTGATGAAATCAGACAAAGAAATACTGCCCATGCAAGAACTAATGGACCAGCTTCTCTCATTTCAAAGATATCAAAGCTTGATATGAGAGCATCAATCTCTTGGACATCATTCAACATAAAAACAGAAGCACCCTGCCTGAGGAACAGGAAAACAAATGTTCCAGCAATCAGAGCAAGTCGAACAAAAGGAAAAAGAAATAAATATCAGGTAAAAGCAACTCATTCTAAAATCTGCTTATA